CATGGTGAACGCAACACGGAAGAGATTTACAGATAATGTAGTGCGATCTTTTGCCTTTGATTTCCATGGGAAAACGGCATGATTTTTTTTTTAAATCAAGAAATTATTTGTTTTCGAAAGATAAATTATTCTTCAATGCTCAGTTTAACACTTTTACGGTGATAAAAGCTCATTGTCTAAAACTTACGAAACACAGACGTATTCAGAAAGAGTATTGACAGAGGTCGCCGCCAGAACAAAAGCAGTTTCATTGCCTGTCTGACATCTTATCACCGCTGAACAATACATAGGTGTGAATATTTTTAGGCATGTTGTCGAAACAAATGAATAGGATTAGGAACAATGCCGTTTTGGAACAGCTGGTTGAAACAATGAAGTCAGTCACGGTCTTGTTGAATTGGGGGTGCGGTCAGTAATAGGTACTTTTCAAGTTTTCTATTTTTGTTAAGAACTCTTTAACCCCGAAGCCGGAATTGGGGGTGCGGTTACTATTACGTATGCGGTTTATATTAGGACTTTAACGGTATGTCATTTAATTTTTCAGATAGAGTTCAAAATGGCCGACTGATGGTTATTTTGTTTGAAAGAATGCATGCAGTTCAGGATCCATATCTCCAACATGCATGTTTGAACTTCACACATACATCATTTCAGACAAATGCACATGCTTTTTTGTCACTGTTAAATGAAAAATGGCTGACTGTCGGTCATCTTGTTTAAACAAATGCAATTCCATGTAGCCATATCTCATTTATTCCTTACACGATCAAGTTTAAACTTTACACATACATCTCACATCATTGATTGAATTGTATTTTTATTTTAGCATGTAATTTTGTTTTCTGATTGGACGCCATATTGTTGTATAGAATGCTGTACAGTAGTCTTACTAGAATTACTTCTGACATGTTTTTCCTGTCCACATTATATCAGTTCACAATAATTGTTATATGGCACTATTGTAATACAAATTTCTGTTGGGATTTTTTGTTGATGAAAGTATGTACAAAGACATAATGATATACATGTACCTAGACACCATTATTTGTTTTCATTTTAATGAAATTTCGTTGCCATTTTTGTTCCGCATGTTTCTCAGGCATGCCTGGGCTGACTGAAACTAAACAGGACTATGTCATGGATTTGTATCATCCCAGAATATTTTTAATGTTTTTCAGGAAAGATTTGAAAAAGCTATGTCGATGGTAGGAGCTGAATTTCTTGATAGAGTACTCTATTATCACAAATGTTGGTGGCCAGCAAGGTCACTTGTAGAAGAATCTATAAAAAAGAGATTTGAAGTGAGTATATTACAGGTATTTTATTTGTATTACCGTAAATCCTTGTCACTTAAGGCGAGAGTGTATCTTCTTATTTTCCTTCCTACATTTCTTGGTCTAAAACCCTGAATGAATGTATTCTCAAACTTCTTACACGTATGAGCAAATTTTAAAATTTTCCTCTGTTGATACCATTCTATCTGAATAGGTGGATGGGTTTCTGATGTCTTACATTTTATTTTTTATTTATTCCAAATGGTAGTCTGGTCATTTTGCATACTCTGCTGCTGGTACAATGATGAAACTAAAAAGTCGTGTCATTGACCTTAACTCATTTGAATCGGTCACTTTACTATTTTGTCAAACTATACTCAGAGTCGTAGTATTATTATTTTTATCGCAAGTAGACCAACACCATTACTATCTTCAAAACTTAGTGCCATAATTTTTCCAACCAAAATTTTGATACATCTTTTTTTCTATTTTCGATAATTTTGGACCAAATCAACCCAATTTTTTTTTAGATACAGGGCTAGCTCCAACTTTTGGAAAAAATCTGTAAAGAGTATATATTTAGATTGAAATTTTGGAAAAAATCTGTAAAGAGTATATAATTAGATTGAAATTTTGGAAAAAAATCTGTAAAGAGTATATAATTAGATTGAAATTTTGGAAAAAATCTGTAAAGAGTATATATTCAGATTGAAATTTTGGAAAAAATCTGTAAAGAGTATATATTCAGATTGAAATTTTGGAAAGAATCTGTAAAGAGTATATATTTAAATTGAAATTTTGGAAAAAATCTGAAAAGAGTATATATTTAGATTGAAATTTTGGAAAAAATCTGAAAAGAGTATATACTTAGATTGAAATTTTGGAAAAAATCTGTAAAGAGTAATAATTAGATTGAAATTTTGGAAAAAATCTGTAAAGAGTATATAATTAGATTGAAATTTTGGAAAAAATCTGAAAAGAGTATATAATTAGATTGAAATTTTGGAAAAAATCTGAAAAGAGTATATAATTAGATTGAAATTTTGGAAAAAATCTGTAAAGAGTATATAATTAGATTGAAATTTTGGAAAAAATCTGAAAAGTGTATATAATTAGATTGAAATTTTGGAAAAAATCTGAAAAGTGTATATAATTAGATTGACATTTTGGAAAAAATCTGAAAAGAGTATATAATTAGATTGAAATTTTGGAAAAAATCTGTAAAGAGTATACCGTATTACCCCGGGCACGCGCCCATGGGCCTGAACATACAAAATCGGGAAAAATTGGGGGTGGGCGCTTACCCGAGGACCACCCCAAAAAAGATTTTAAAAAGTTGTGTTTGTGATCGTATGATAAGGTCAAATAAAGGAATGCTTTCGTACACTTTGTACACGTACTTATTTCTTGATTTATGCGAGGTTTCAATAAACGTGAGCACTCGGTCAAGAACTGTGGGAACACTAAGACACAGGGTCGAATTTCAAGAATAAAACTTGTTTTACGTCGGCGAATGAAGTTGTATTACTCACTGAAATTGGCTACAAAGTATGGTAAGTATTGTAATCAATGCACGGTTACTTTTTTAGTAACCGTGATCAGTGCAAATCGAAACTGCCGGGAAAAACTACCGCTTGTAATCCAAGATGGCGATGACCTCATTAGCATAATTTTGTTCACGCACGTATTAATATATCGCATCGTAATTACTGAAGAATAGCAGACAGGGTTATGAAACAAATAAACCTTTTATTACTGATGTGAACGATTTACAAACTATACATAAACATATCCAAATGGCGATACATAAAAAACAGAAAAGAGTATATAATTAGATTGAAATTTTGGAAAAAATCTGTAAAGAGTATATATTTAGATTGAAATTTTGGAAAAAATCTGAAAAGAGTATATAATTAGATTGAAATTTTGGAAAAAATCTGTAAAGAGTTTATATTTGCCCGTACCATCAAAGATGGAAGGGAAAGGTATATTAAGGGAACAAATTTGTTTGTTGTTGTCGCTAATAATTGTTATTGTGTGCACAATAACTTCACTAATTCTATTCCAAACTTCATAAAACTTATTCATCAGTATAACGTCTTCCCTCAGTTTGAACAACAGATGTCCTGTATGAAAATATCATGCAAAAATTGAGAAAATCTGATAAAATATTTTGACTGTTTCTACTTGACTGATCACTGGTGATACACATCAAAGGTCACTGATCTCAGTGGAAATATGCATTGTTCCGATGGGAATACTATACTGGGTTTCAAAACCAACTCATGGAGAGATTTTTGCACAGTCTGATACACATTTGCAAACCTACCAATAAAATCTTTACAGAAAACAAGATGTCAGAAAATCAATATAAACACTCCTATGAACTGGGTGCCTAACTTTGATCAAGATCTTAAGCTAATAGAAAATCTGTTTAGTTCAAAGTTATCGAATCAAAAACAATACATAAAAAATACATAAAAAGCAAAACGTTGCATTCACATTTTGAAAAGAAAATTGTACTAAAATATATGTATTTGACAAACAGGAATTTGTTTCAGCTTCAAAAACAAAGATTGCCGTGTTTGAAGATGTAGATTCTCAGGAGGCAACAGTACTGTTGATTTCTATCTCCACTGGACACCAACTAACTATTTAAGTTGATTTGCGTACAAAGCAGAGCTTGCAACATGATAGCTCTTCATAGAGGGTGTTTTTTTTACTTTTCATATAATACAGTAGGCACACAATGAATATAATAAAGCAGTTCATATTTGTCTCATTAATTTTTGACATACACCTGTACAAAATACTTGGGCAAACGCCAGCTAAGATTTTCTGTTATCTTGCATGTTTTATGAATCTATTCACGTCTAAATGCAGGACTTTTTTTCTGCGATGAAGCATTTGTTTTTATGCTAAAATATCTGAGTTACTTTGAATGAAGCTGGAAATTATGTCCCTTAGAATAATTAAACAAATTAGGCACCAATGTTTTTGTAAGATATTTACATCTATCAAGGACATTCGGTAGACTGATTCCCCACTGTTGGTTCAACCCCCAAAACTTGCTTGTATTCAAAATTAATTATGACAATGCATATTTATATAGAAACAAGCTATGATTAAGGGAATAATATTATATAACAAAGGGCAAGGTCACCAAAGTTCAACTATGTTTTTGTGAATGGTGACAAAAGGTTATACGTACACTGACAAATTTGTTACACCAAGGATAACGTTCTTTAATTTTGGTTCTGTGATGTTTGCTTTGGTTTCATGCAGGTCGATGACAGTGGTGAAATAATTATTTTTCAACAAGGTGGATGCCCATGGAAGGATCATCTGTTTGATTTGGAAGAAGAAATGAAAATAGAACGGCCAATAAAATACGTACTGTACACAGATCAGAATGATAATTGGAGAGTGCAGTGTGTGCCAATCAGAAAAACTTCATTTGAAAACAGGTGGGTTTTAGGGAATAAAGAGTTTTATTTGCACAAGCGGCAAATTGTCTGTTAAGAAGGCCAAATGTATCAGCGCGAGTACTTAGAGAACGATGGTCGCCACACAGTGTTTGATTTAATTTAAATAATATGTTGTGAATGTTGCTATAAGTCGTATATCAAACAGGACGCGACGCGATGACCACCACGCTTTAATGACACTTTCAAAACTGCATAGAGAAGACTCACAAAACAATAAATGGGTATTGATAGCCACCAGTGTTTAAGACATCTGCTAAAGCAAATTACATATTTACAGGCAAGCTAGTAATTTCAAACAATTCTCAAAATTATGTTGTGCATGGTCTTAGTTAAAGGTTAAATTCTTATAGGTTTATTGTGTTTGAATAAACTGCATATATTGCAATAATGTACTGTGTTGGTGACAACCTCTATATAAAGACCACCTGCCAATATTGATACCGTAAAAACTTGATTAATTCGCGGTAGTGAAAATAATTATTTTTTCAAGTGCGCGAATTAATAGCGTAAAAACGGAAATTATTGGTTTTTGGTGCACGAATTAAAAGAGTACTTTTAGATCGATTCAAAAAGGAGCTGTTTTCATAAATTTTCGACCATGTACCATGTTACACTTGAAATGAAACAGTGAAATGGCAAAGGTCACTCTGTACACAAACAAACAATGAACATGTGGCTACAAAGTAGTCGTCTGGCTGCACTGCCATTTTTATTTTTCTAGGCATCGCCTGGGCAATGTTATGGCAGATATTACGAAGCCTATCTTGTCTGGAAAAATAACACTGCGTTGATAAAAATGGTCTTAGAAAATGTTTAGAAAAAATAATGTTTCGCATTGACCAAATATAATCATGCAAAGTATAAATTCAAAGTGTTTTAATACATTGGTGAGAGGTCGCATTTTACGTGAACAAGAACATGCACTAAGAAGGAAAAGCAAGCCAAAGTTGAAACGAGGTGCATCATGGACATGACACAACACACGCTGCGACAACTGAGTGATCAGCGACATCATTTTGGGACGCAATTGAACTTCAAGTACTTCTTTGCGAAACTTGCTGCACGGCGATGCTGACGTCAAGTGTGTGTTGACCGAAGTTTGACGCTAAGTCACGCACTGAACTGGCGCGTTACCTTAGCAACCTTCTTTCATGCCCCGCGCATCAATCTAGTAAAATTGTTATTATATCTGTACTGTAATTACGCAACTTGTATGCAACTCTGAACTGGCTTTGAATATATCAACGTCATTTACTTAGTGCACTGCTTTTTTAATTACGCAAATTTGTTTACAATATTGTACCGGCTCTGAATATTTCAACTTTGTAATGTATTGCTTTCATGATAATTAGTTTTTTGTTAACTATTGTTAGGGCACTAACCGGGGTATTAGGTCTGTGAATATTTCAATATCACCGACTTGATAATGCGTTGCATTCATAATAATTACGCAAACATAAACATACCATACGTCAAATTAAATTTTACTATAATATAATAAACTCTGGGCAGCGCACTTCGATCGCATTATTCACGTACATTTCGACTGAACTCTAATAACCACGCGTTTGTGTGGCATTGGGCAATGACCTCCAGAGTTTATGCACTGATATTTAAATACGGGCCACCCAGCTTGACGCAAATCAATATAGTTACTTGTCATTTGTTAAAAAAATCTTTCAACTCTCACAAATACCATGGACGCGAAGAGTTAACTGGGGGTTAAATGAAAGGGAACGTCTTTCTTGGACAAAAAACCCGTCAGTACAAGATTATATGTGCAAGGTTAGATTTATAGAACGTACATGACCGCTTAACTCTGTGTTTTTTACCGAATCCGGTATAATGAAAATGTGACACGAGGTCAATCGCCCGACCAATCAAAAACGTTAATTTACGCACCATAGGGCGGTTCACTTAAATAACGTAATAGAATAATGGCTGACACAAAGTCGATGCAACTCTGTGGATCAGTGACGAAAAAGCCCTGTACTAAGCTTTCCATCACAGAAATTTGTAATCGATGTGCTGACCGATGGATATTTATCGACTAAGTAATAATCTTGCCCAACATCTGTAGTGTTGTGGGGGAATGATTTTTTTCACGTCAAATCTTTACCGAACCTAAACTGCTTGCTAACTGAAAGGCTGTAATGACGGAGATCATCTGCGATTTCGGCTACACCAAGTACCGATAACATAAAAACTCAAACAATATGTATATTTTTTTTAATGTCTTCATGCAATTTATCCACTTTATACTGGTCCGCGAATTAATAGGATACAATTTTAAACATGTTTTTAAATACTTAAAAATAAGTGTTTGAAAAAAAAATGGGTGCGCGAATTAATCGAGTTTTCACGGTAATCCCAAGGAATAACGTATAAACAGCCTGTAAAAGAAGAACACTTGTCTTTTAGCAATATTTTTGCAGATTTGTTTAGGATTTCAGGATTCTGTTTTTCATGAACTGTTCAAACTATAAAGCCCTTAATGGAGAAGTGTTTCTTGAGAACAGTAGTTATGCTTAAGTTGGTGAATGTGTTCCTACTAAGTGGAACTGCAACTTTAAAATCCCACCAAAACTAAAGTTAATATTGGCATATTCTGAAAAGCTGTAAAGATGTAATATTTGTTTATATTTGTTCATTATGCAGGGTGTCTTTGTTGGAAGAATGGCGAGGATTACGTGATGACGAACTGAGTAAAGTAAGCGGTATACCAGGATGTATATTCGTACATGCCAGTGGCTTCATTGGTGGTAATAAAAATAAAGATGGCGTCTTAGAAATGGCTCGACATACGCTGAAGAAGTTGAGACCTGCAGAAACCTAGCAGATAGTAGTAGTAAAGAAAATTGTGAATGTGTGTTGTCTCACAGTTGGCATCTCCAACGAGCCATTGTGATCGTGTGTTGTTTGCCAACAAACATCTTCAGCAAGCAATTGTGATCATGCTTTGTCTGCTGACTGGTATCTATGTGTAGGCAACTTAAACTGTTGGTGCAGGTAGTTTACAAATGCACTTTTTGACATCTTGAAAACAACCTTGTGTGAAGTTGCATCAGATTCTTTCATTTTATGACAATATCTTCAATTCCCTGTATGATATATACTTTTAACATGTTTGCGTAAAGCTCTATGACATTTGTGTCATTTCAGTTTTTACATTTCCTGTGTCATCGTAGATGAAGGAAAGTACATATATGAGGAGGAAATGTCTGTCCTAGTTGTTGTTGACCTAAGATGTAGAACTTTTTCTGGTGATTACAGTCAAACTCAAACAGATTTTATCCAATCTCTTTAAAACTTGGATATTTTATTACTCAGTTTGAAACCTGGACAAGCTCCATTTTCCCAAAGTTTCTAATAAATCACTATAAAATGGTTTATGGGGACTGATGCTGATCATGAAAAACAGATGCAAGTAATCTGTGTCAATTAGATATAATGATGTACAAATGTACAACTATAGGAAACTTTATACAGTTCATGTTATATTACCAGGTACTGTAAAATACTTTATTTTAGCTGGAATTAATTTTGGCTGTTCTGATTGAATGTAAAAAGGTATTTTCACTGATTCAACTCTTCCGCAAAAATAAATCCCAAATAAAAATAAAGTACTTTACAGTAATAGGGATGTTGAAAATAAAACAAAGGTAATTAATATTCATGTTTATTCAGAAGTGTTTCCACCTAAATTTTGATAAGTTTTAACACTTAAACATAAAATATTCCACCGTACCGTTATGCAAAATTGAAACAATGTTCTAGGTGCACAGTGACAAGCTAAACAGTGTTTTTTTTTTCTTTTTATGAACATGTGGAATACATCTCCCAAAAGTAGTGCCATCACTCTCAAATGTGGGTGGATTTGCCAAAGTCACCAGGTGTCAAATGGTTTATTTTACTTGCCTGTTCTAAGTTTGCAAATAAATCAATCTATTGTCTATCTATTTATGATGGGATTCACTATAAACTTTGCTTTACCCTATTCTGGACTGTGTGCATGTCAATGGAATGGTCTAATTTTTTGTGTAATGAAAAATAGCAATGAGCAAACTTGTGAGGAAGTTGATAGTTTCTGTGTTCTAAATACAGTACAGCACAACATTGATCTGATTTGGTATATTTAAAATGTGTGAAGATTCCAATGCATTTCATTAGTTTCCAATGAAACTTGTTAATTTGCATAATTACATGTATGATGAAAGAACTTTTCAGGCTTCTTGCAATTTTAAAATGAATAGTGGTCTGCATACAAACTAAGATTTACCCACTGCATGTTTATTCATAAATCCACATGTCTATGCTAATTGTAAACTAACCACACTTGTACTCGCATGCAGAGTGTTATTTGCCGAGTTTGTATTCATATGCTAGTGTAATGGGTACAGATAACTGTATACAACTTGTAAACCAGCATTGCCCTGGCCACATGACAGCTATTGTAAATTGGACCTTGCACTCGTACTACAGCTTAAGTCAAGGTCTGAAGTTGACGAGGAGAGAACACCACATCAACAATAGAGCCAACTCAATTACCAATGGGGGGGTTGTGAAAAAACAGTATGGATCCAGAACATATCTTCTTGTACATGTATCTGTTCGTCAAACGAGTACTTGTCCATATTGAGAAATGGTGCTCTGGAACAGCATTAATTAAAACAAAATGGCCAAACAAATATATAAAATCAGTCAAAGCATATCAGAGTCGGCCAGTTTGAATTAAATCTAAAAAATAAAACAATGTGCATCAGGAACCCATAGTCTCTAACGTACCAAGTTTGAACAAAATCCATCCATAACTCAAAGATCCAGTATGCCTGAAATGCTAGATTTTTAGCACAAAAATGGCTATTTTGAATCAGATTGTGAAACCAATATATCTAAAATTTGATCATAATCAGTCAAAGCATGGCATATATGGCACTAGAACTGCATTCATTAAAACAAAATGGCTGCTAGTCAGCCATTTTAAATTGGATCTGAAAAATAAAATTTGCATCAAGGTCCCATAATGTCCAATGTATGTACCGGTACCAAGTTTAAACAAAAACCATCCGTAAATGCTTGATTTTTTACTATAAAAATGGCCACCATTTGGCCAGATTGTGAAACAAATTGATGGGCATATGTATACATGTGAAGTGTGATTGGTCCAGGCATGTCCAAGTTACAGGTCCGTCCGCACAATAATAAAGGCATTGAATTGACCCTTCTAATGTTGAGGCCATTATTGCATTAACTGATTTTTTTTTTTCTGGGTTGTCATTTATTGAAATCTAGATTTGTCAAGCGAACCTCGGGGCAAACAGTACCAGACAACTTACCTTGGACCCTGAACGAGATGTCAATACTTTACCAGCTTGAGAGGCTTCACTAACTGCTTCTCACTGATGATTTTATGTGTCATTTTCATGTGCAGCATTATTATTGTTGTGTAGTCACTTTTGCCCATGCACAAGTTTAAAGCTATTGCCACAGTTGTTTTAACCTTTGGAGTTGAACGTACTATCGAGGCCAGCACTGAATCTACGCGTTGTAGATTTGGCATTTACTAAAGCAGTGTTGACCAAGTAGAAGCACTGGCCTTGACTCAAAATCAAGCCAAGTGAAACGAGTCAAAATTGTTACTCAAAGATTTGAATTTGTTTTTTGATATCTTTCTTCATTGTCAAGAAGGTAACCCGAAGTTTTTTTTGTTTTTTTTTTAAATTATTTTTGCCAGAAGTCGTATTCATATTTGGAACTAGATGACAGGGATGTGCGGCCATCTTCCTATTAAATGGCAATTTAATGCGCTATCCTGGCGTCAACCAGGCTTTGTCAAACACAAGCAGCTGCGGACCTCAACAAAGGTTCCCCCAAAGTCGCATTCGTTAGTGAATGAATGAATCTCGGCTAGTGGAATTGGCCTTCCCATTGAGTCTGTGGCACACACACCCAGGGTAGGGGTCGACCCTGTTGATGTTCAGCCTGTGGTAGAATTTGAACTTGGGTCTACCGATCATGAGTCTGATGCGACAACCACTATACTACCAGTGACCGGTTTTGTTTTTAAGTCCAGGCCATTGCTTCCACTGGTTAGACGATGTGCATTAAACCAAATTTACAGAGTCTTGTTGACATTCATTGAAGTCTATACAAAGTAAGTATTACCAGGCCTGGCAAAGAGCCATTCAGCTTACTTGCTTGTCTGTATTAGACTTTCTGTGATTTTTTTTTTTGTTCGCCAGCGTGGTCACACTTGAACTCTAGTTAGGTATGAAAAATTTAACAAAAATCCTGTCCTGATTGTTTGCTTCCATAACAGTATACATCATCATGCAAACAAGTACCTTGTTTCGGAAGACAATATAATACGGCCAAGTTTAATACTGTAGAATACTTTATTTTCGCTTGGAATTTATTTTCGCTGAAGGGGTGATTCTGTGAAAATAAAATCCAGCGAATATACTTTTTTTCCTATATTTCACACTTCAAATGCCTATCCAAGCTACAGTTATAATTAAAACAAAATTAAACCACTGCAATATTATTTCGAATACAGTTTAGAATATACACAACTATAAATTAAGGCCGCATTTAGGTTCGCTTTAAATTCATCAAAAATCAGTGAAAATAAATTCCATATAAAATGCCCAAAAAGCCTTTTCAGCGAAAATAAAGTATTTTACAGTAATCAGAAAAGAAACTAAATTGTTTACATAATTTATTTCAAGCATAAACAGTATTTATAGTTAAACAAAAAGAAACGTGAAGATTGTTTGCTGGCTATACTTCTAGATTTTTAGTATAAATACACTGATGGGCTTTATGTTCAATATCTTGCTGTTGAACTTACCATCTGATTATAAAGCAATAAGGTCACAATTCTCATGAATATTTTCAAAAAGAAATCACCCTAAACACACAAGATCACCAGTATATTGACTGTAATGTCACAGATGGTGGGCAGGAAAAAAGCATTCAGGTAATGCAATCACAAGCAGACTGACAATAAGTACAGTGTAAATCATATATGCGGGTCTATTCCAAATCTTGTAGATTGATTGTGCTTTCAGTGAACGACGGAACAGTACTGCCAGAGTTGCTGTGAGATTCCAGAAAATCTTCACTCGCATCATCACCATGGTTACTAGGCGTCTCCTGAAGAATTGACACAGGAAGCTCACTGCTAATGCTGGAATGGTCAGAATTCGTAGAAGCAGTCAATGATATCTCTGGATGGAATGCAATTTCATGGTCTGATGGTGGGTCATCCTGCAGCAAATAAAATGTTAGAAAATCAGGCCAGAAATAAAAATTTGTTTCAGGTTCATGACGGTATATGTACATATTCATCCACAATATTTAAAGCTGTGCTTGCCGACTTTCTTGCCCACAGCCTATTTCATTACTACATACAGCAGAAGAGCTGAAAAGACGACTCAACCATTTACTATCGGTATACTTGCCTGTAGTAGTTGGGTTTGCACATAGTGTGAACCAGTGGCAGGGTCTCTTAATGTTATTGCACTTGATGTCATAACAACACCAGCAGTAGTGAATGTTGCCGTAGCGACTGGGTCATCAATCTCCCGACTGATGGTAGTGATGCAATCAGTTTCTACTGAAATAGAAAATTAAACAAGTCAAGACATGAGAAGGACCCATTCGTTTTCAATGCTAGAGTATGGTTGAATACACATGCACACAAGTCCATGTTGCATTTACAAGAGTTGAATGCAATCATATATTGAAGACTTTATTTATCGTCCAAATTTGGACAAAAGACTTGAGATCGATGCTTTTCCACGATGGCAATGTTTCAGTCTACCATCTCTCTGTTCATCACAAAATGGTTCCGTTTATAGTCTCCACTTTCCTTCAGAAGATTCGGGCAAAAATAGCCAAATTGTTTGAGTAAAAACTGAACATTGACTGAAATTTTGTCTGTTGCCTCCAAAATTAGGGCTCATTTCTCAGAAATATTGAAAAATATGTGCAGAAAAATTTAGCTGAGAAAATTTGGTGGTGAAAGGTTAATGCATGTGACATGATGTCTAACGTCATGTGTGCCATATATAAAATGACCACCAAATGGCTATTTTTAAATCTAATCTCCAAAACAAAATTACAAGCAAGACTCAAGGTATAACACAAAAGAAGTCCTGACTTTGCCAGTCTAGTAAATCAGGTAAGTCCTCATTTAGTAAGTTTCATTATGATCTCATTTTGCTTCATACATGTATAGTGTGTTTCCAGGTCACTTTAGAAATATTTATCTGTGATAATAGAAAAATTTGTAACTATTTATAAACATGTTTAGAACTTACCAACAGTTTCATCTAGATCACTATCACCAGTGTTCTGAAACATGCGTCTTCTTTTTATTGGCCTCTGTAAAATTCCCTGGATTGCACTGAAATCAGTTCTGGCTGAACCGCTATTGTTTGCTTGAAATACCCTGGTAGTGTATTCTAGTGGACTGGATGAAGGTACTGTGGTTTCCACAGCCTGCTCTTCAGTGGTGGCATTATTCACATCAACGTCTGCATTTACGACGAACTGTGTCACCACATTATTACCCACATGCTGGGACATCACTTCAGATTGTAAACTAGCAGTGGCAATCTGCCGCTCTACCTCGGCACTAGCTAAGTAAGTCTCAGAATTATGTTCAATATTTGAATTGTCAAACTGACCATCTTGTTGATACACTGCTTCAGTATTGGTTTCCGTGGCATGGGGTGTTAATTCAAAATTGGCAGCATTTCTGGTTTCCTCAATGGCCGAGATGCGTACAACTGAAAATAAAAAGACAATGGTTTAAATAAAGGATTGACAAAAACGTAATGATTACCATATTTGCTCCATTAGCAGTATACACATCCATGTAAATCACAACAGCACATCTTCATAATAAAACTTTAAATTAACAAGCCATGCATGGCACAGTCCCTGTTAGTTATCAAATTTAAGATATATAGTTTTGTTTATAGTAATATAGCTGGAATATAACCATGTCGGGAATATGATTTTTGTAACATTAAAATGATTGACATTTGTATCTGATCGTCAAACAAGTACTTGTCCATATTGAGAGAAATTGCTCTGGAACAGCATTCAAAATCAGCCATTTTGAATACATGTATATATATAACATGATGTATAACGAATATATAAAATTTGAATATAATCAGTCAAAGCATTTAAGAGATATGGCTCTAGAAGCCCAATCATTAAAACACAATGGCCGCCAGTCAGCCATTTTGAATCCAATCTGAAAAATAAAATGATGAGCATCAGGAACCCGTAATGTCTAATGTATGTACCAAGTTTGAACGAAATTCACCCATAAATGCTTGATATTTTATGATTTTTTAGCACAAAAATTACCACCATTCGGCCATTTTGAATAGGATAGTCAAACCAATATATCTGTTTATGACATGATGTATAATGAATATTTAAAATTTGAAAATATTATCAGTCAAAACAAGTCGGAGATATGGGTCTAGAAGCCCAGTGATTAAAACAAAATGGCCGCCAGACAGCCATTTTGAATCTGATCTGAAAAATAAATGATGTGCATCAGGAACCTGTAATGTCTGATATATGTACCAAGTTTGAACAAAATCCATCCATAAATGCCAGAAATGCTTGATATTTGATGATTGTTTAGCACAAAAAAAGCCACCATTTGGTCATTTTGAATTGGATCGTCAAACCAATATATCTGTCTACCTATGACATGATGTATAATGAATATTTAAAATTTGAAAATATTATCAGTCAAAACAAGTCGGAGATATGGGTCTAGAAGCCCAGTGATTAAAACAAAATGGCCGCCAGACAGCCATTTT